CTTCCTTTTCTTCCCTTTCGTCGTCGTCGTCTTCGCCTTCGTCGTCGTCCTCGTCTTGCGAGGCTGCCGCGTTGGGGGCGAATTGGACGTTGGGTTGGACGTCTCGGGGGGTCGTGGATTCGGGCCCCCCACGCCCGGAGGCCGAGGGCGCCTCCAACTCTTCCTCGAGCATCCGACGGTAAAGTTCATCCTCGTCGCGGGTGAGTTCATCGATGGGCTCGGGGGGGGCGAGGGGTTCGTTTGTACCCCCCCGGGCGTTTCCCTTCGTCGCCACGACGTCGGCCTCGGGGGCGGTTTCCTCGTTTTCGTTTTCGTTTTCATCCTCATCCTCATCCTCATCGTCATCCTCATCGTCGTTGGGGGCGTTTTCGTCAGGAAGCAGCTCCACGAGGGTTGGGGTGAGCAACGACTCGAGGTCGTCGCGGTTCTGCAGCAAATCGTGCACGACCGCGACCCCGGCGTGCTCGAGTTCGGAGATGAAATCCTCCACGCAGGTGAATTCGTGGAGTTGCTCGGGGTTGAAGCCGAGGGGTTCCCCCAACGCCTCCAGACGGGCCCGCTCCGCGTGCGTAAACGGCCCGGTTAGATCGAGGCTGACGATCGTCGTGGGCGACAGGATTTCTTCCCGATCGACGAATTCCTCCCCCCCCCCCCCTCCTTCCGCTCCGGCGGTTGCGGCGCCTAAGGAGGTGATCATCACGTGATATTCCACCAAACTCACCCGGGGGAACCCTTTGCTGCGGACGAGATGCAACACCCCCATCATCGCCTCCGCGAAGCGCCCGCGGACGTCCGATTCGAGAATCCTTTCTTTCAAGGAGGTCTCGTAGAGGTGGAGGGTGGAGCCGACGAACTGGACGACCCCGCAACCGGGGTTCAGATCCACCTTCGGGCGAAACGGCGTCGCCCGGATGTCTTTCGTGGCGAGGTATTTTTTAAACGCAATCCCGGCGGCGTCGACGGACATAAACGTCATATCCGTATGCAGGGAACTCCGCGGCCGTTTCGCCCCGAACGGCCGCGGATCCCCGGAAAGGAGCGGGAAGCCATAGGGAGGGAGGGCGGCCGCGTAGTTCAAATCCACCGCCCCACCCCGCGAGATCGTCCGCATCAACAGCGCCCCGTGCACGAGCACATCCACGCCTTTTTGGCGATGAAACTGCATCACGGCCTCGTCCGTGGCCTCCTCCATCGCCATCTGATGATGATTGAAGGCCAACCAGGTTTGTTTCAACGCCTGAACCTCTACCGGGCACCCCGGCGAGACCTCGTTGGCGTGGTAAACGCTGAAAAGCCCGAGCGGATCCACCTGCGCGGTTTCCTCGTCAATCACCACCACAAACCCGTTCTTTTCATCCGATTTGATCTCCTTCTCCGGAAGATGCAAATACCCGTCGGCGCTGTTGAACTGGCTGAGCATTAACTCCGCTAATCGCGTTAACTTCTTTGCCGCTTCGGGATCGGCGCGGTCGTCCGGTGTGGCGGCAGCGTCGCCTTCCATTTCCTCCGGGGGTTCCTTCATCTCGTGCTCCGTGAGTTCCTCCTCGACCTCTTCTTCGACCTCTTCGTACTCCTCCTCTTCTTGGATATCCACCCCATTGGGATCGTGAGGATCTTCCGCGGCCTCGGGGGCGGGTGGGGGATGATCCGCGGATGCCGCCACCGCGTTTCTTTCTCCCCTCCCTCCCTCAACCGGTGGATTGCGATCCGCTTTGCCTTGGAGGGTGCTTTCCGTGGTTGGGGTTTCCATTCGTTGCGGGGCCGCCCTCGCGTGCTTTTTCTTTCCCCGACGCGATGGGGTGGATGGGGTGAGGTCGTCCACCCCATCCGGAGGTTCGTGGGAGGCTTTCGTCGTGATGGAATCGGACTTTTTGTGGGGTTTAGCGACTTGATCGACGGGTTCCATCGTCCGGGAGGCTTCGATGGGGTTTCCACTCCCGAGGTTGGCGTTTTCCTCGATGGGAGAAGGAGAAATAGAAGAAGGAAGGGGGTTCCCCGGGTTCGCTGCTTTGCCGTCCCCAGTGTTTGTCATGGAGGCCGCCGCCGTCAGGAGCGGCATCACGAGCTGCTGTTGACTCCCCGCCAACAACTGCGAGGTGGTTTCCCCCCCGCCCGCGGAGGCTGGCATGAGTTCCTGGATAATCGCGCGATGAATCGTCTTCGAAAGCCACTCCAGGACCTCATTTCCTTGGTGTTGTTTCGGACTCCGCGTGATGGCGTAGTACGCCTGTTCTAACAACCCCCGAGAGTAGGAAGAGATCACGACCCGATCCCGATGCTCCTCCCATTGCCCGACGGAAACGATCCCGGCAAGGCGTAGCGCGCGGGCATCCCGACAGGCTTGATAATATTCACTCCCGAGCAGCACATCCAGCCATTCTTTATTGCCCCCGACGGCGCTGAGTTGGCGTTTCGGCACCATCGCGGCAAAGACGCCGAGGCTGACCTCCTCCACCCCCATCGCCTCGGGATCCAAAAGCAACCGGACGAGATCCCGCAGGGTGGACGATCCGGCGGATGAAACCCCTCCTTCTCCTCCTTTAGGGATTGGGAGGTTGGGCTCGAGTACGGCCTCCACCGGGCACTCAAAAGGGCTCGCAGGCAGGGTTGAAAGCCTTCCAAAGGGGACGGAGGGGGATTCTGAGCCGGGTTTGCCCTCCTCGCCGTTTTTGGAAACCCCAAGGCGATTCTTCGGCGTCTGCAACGGCGCCAGTAGCAGACGGGAGCAGGAAAAGACGCTCCTCCCTCGCTCCAAAGAGAGGTTCACCCCCATCGGTGCGGGGGTTGGCGGAAATAGACATCGCCTGGCGATCTTGGAAAGTGGGGTTGCCAGACTGGAGAAGGGGACCCCTCGATGGGTTAGAGGGTTCTCGCTAAAAGCCACATGACGCACGCGGCGACGAAGCATTCTTTCCCCTTCGTTTGGTATTTATCTATTGCGCTTCTAAAATCCACGATATCTAGAAAAGAAAACCAAGAGGAAAAGAAGTCACATAGGCCGCATGGATTTTGTAATCTATACTTTGAAAGATGACGACCCGGCACGCCATCCTATCCATCAGACAAGTAAACTAAGAAAAAATACCGCAAAAATGCCCGACATCTATACACCCTCACTCCCAACTTTTTTTTGTTTTGGTGGTTTACTGAAATGAAGAGACCCAAAATGTTCTATGCTTGTATAATTATATTATGGACCCTACTCTTCTATGCGTGGGATTCTTACCCCTCAGGTAAGCAACAGTGTAGTAGTTAACAGAGTGGAGGAGCAAAGTGAAGTGCCATGACAACAAATCAAAATAATTTTTAGAAAAAGAAAAAATCCCGTCAGAGTTGTGGGTTCTATTGTTAGCTAATAGTAACTCGTGCCTGACGAAATATTGACGTAACACGTCCCGAGCTTTCTTTTCTAATTTCTATAAGGTTACAAATATATCTAAGATTTGGTCCATGGGGAATACGGTAGAATAGGATTACAAAGATAGAGTCAACACCCATGTTACGAATAAAGCTTCTTGAGCAACAAGAAAGTAAAAGATTACACAGAAATCGTACAATAAACCAACTAACAAACTTCTCAAAAAGAAAAAAGAATCCGTACCAACCACCCATTTTTACCTGAAGGGATCCTATTTATTACCATCCTTTTTTTTTTTGTTTCTATCTTACCCCTGCCCTTGGACACATCATGTGAGCTGAATTCAGGCACAAATAGAGAGCCAAAGAACGTACCACGATGCACCGTCCAACCACTTTCTTCTTCCCACTCAAAAAAGGGGAGAGGGAGA